ATTTTGTTTTCGTATTTCCGTGCATCCTTATTTCGTGACTTATATGTGTTTTGTGAACTTTAAAATTCCGACGAAAACCACATACAAACCATCATATAGCCTTCTTACAGGGGAAAAATTATAAACATGTATACGATCTCTTAAGGTTTGAGCTATCTAAAACAATGATAAAATTGTCATTTTACACGTTTTAATACCTAAAAAGCCGCATTCAAAGAGTAAATAATAATTCATTCATAAGCTGTGTATTGCCTAAAACAGCCGGTTTAACTAAAGGCGCTGTTCCAAGGACCTCACCACAACATTTTCACACCGCGATTTTGCTCATAAAGCAAGTTAAAGAGGTTCACTCAAGAGCTTTTGAGCAGATTTTTGTCTTGACCTATATTTCGAAAACTCTGCACAATGTTTTAGTTCTCACGATAAATTTGGATTCTACAATGCCAATTAAACTATATTCAGTTAAAACCCCAGATTAAATTCCATACCAAAAGCATTAAATGAGGAACAATATTTTGTGGAACTATATTTTATTTCCCAGATCTTACTTTTGAACAATTTTTAATATACACTAGGTTTTAATATTTCAGAAACAACATTTCTTGACTTCGGAGTTTTTGCTGCAACATCCACGAAAACGCGAACTTTATTTCTAAAATACTGCGTATAAAAACTGTAGACAAAACAACTAATCGAATTAAAGAGTTATAATTTAGGTAGAACGTTATTTCAAACATCTTCATAAAATTTCTGTTGTGAAACGTTTCTATCTACTTTTAAAAAATTAATATTAGATTGTTTACACAATTTTGTTTTTCATGTAGAACATTGCATGTTATTTTGTAAGAGTTAATTGGAGAAGTCACATGACAACCTTATGATTTTTTCAATGTACCTTCTAAAATTACACGATTTTGCTGTAATTTTTTATCATTTGAAAAAGAAAAATGTATTTCACTGAGAGAGGGAAAAAGACACCGTACTTTTTACATTGTTTATATATGAATAATAAAGTGTATTTTTATCATCTCCGGTGATAATGACTTTCATTATTTTTATTTTATTTTAACATTCTTCCTCAATGCTAGAAACTTAAATCCCCTATAATGAATTATGTGGAGATAACGAAAAGTAATCGACTCAAAAGTCCATTAAATAATTCCAAAATAAGAGCAGAGCAAACACGGACCTCAAAGACATCAGAGGTGGGATCAGGTGCCATGGAGGAGTGAGCATCCCCTGCCGACCGGCCATACCCGCCGTGTGCTCCTTGTCATGATTGGGAAATAACGGAAAAATCCGTCGACAAATCAGTGTGTAAATAATGGCCTAACAATAAGTATGAAAAAATTCAGTCAGCATTTGACTTAATGATAGGTTGTATTTGCTGACAAGGTCATTGTATCGACCATAGAATTTACGAAATGATGACTTTAAACGAGACTGCTGATATTCTTGTTTCATCAACTTGTTTGTCAATAATTAACCTATCTCGTTTTAGAAATTGTTCATACGTAGAGCATAGAGCATACGTAGAGCATGATAACAGTAAAAACACATTTTATTTTTTAAATGATTTAAATCATTTTAAATATTGAAGCAAATTGTTATAAGCCCTATAAAGAAATTAAATAACAATGTATTATCCTATTTAAAAGATTCAATTGTTTAAATCACAAAATCTGACCTCATAGCTAAAGTTAGTGTTTATGCAATCTTCAAGGTTAAATAAACACAACTTCACCTGTATTCCTTGTCATTTTTTCTTGGACATAATTTTTTATGATAAAAATTGGATTAATACATTCACTATCGAGTGAAATTTATATCCCCGATTTATCAAAATCTATCTTCACTTTAGTATTTCCTCATATTCCCCTTCTTAGAATCCAGTTTTATGACAGTTAATTGTATTACACTGTATATTCAGGCCCATAGAACGCTGAGGGCAAGGAGCCCCCTAAACTTTTTTCTGAGTATAGTTTTTTGCTATAGTAAATTTTCATTTAGATGCTGGTTGGCCATTTCCACTTTCTGTTGTATTGTCCAGCACTGGCAATTTCTAGGATTTGAGTAATTAGGAGGGGTTTTTTCTTGCTTGTCAGATCATTTTAAACCGTTGCTACCGGCCTGATATTGTTAGTTTGAAGAGCTTAACTGACATCAGTAATTTATCTGAAAAGTACAACATACGTAAATATTAAATAACTAAAACTTAATTGAAATGATTTTTAGCAATTTCTAGCTCTACGGCGGGAAAATCACCGACCTTCTGTTTTGATGGATTATCATCTGTATGATAAGTTTATCCTCTGGTTCTGGTAAAACAGAGAGTGTGGATGCATAATTCTTCTTGGCAAAAGTTTTGTTTTAATTACAATTTGTAGCTGTTGAATATAAAAGTACTTTTAAAAGTAGCGAGGCCACAAAAAGTCACCACAATTTTGAAGATCCATTTTGAGTTCAATAAATGTTTCTGTTACTTAGTATGTGAACAGTATTTTAACGTAATTTCTAAAAACAAATTCTACTCATTTTTGTATAGTTCAGAAGAAAATAAAATAGAACTTTCAAAGGGAAATGTTACCTTGAAAATGTTATTAAATTAGTCTAACTTCATCTTTTCCCCACAGAATCTTCAATTCATTCCAGTTCTCGATTTTTGCAAAAAGGTATTTTTTTTTAAGTTTAATGCTTGTTTTGTTTGTTTGTATGTTGTTTAACGTTCCTCTCGAGAATTTTTCACTGAAATGGAGACGCCACCACTTGCCGGTGGAAAGCTGCAAATTTTGTCCTATACTTGGCACTTACGGCCATTGAGCAGTGAGGGATCTTTTTCATGCCAGCACCTACTGCGACACGGGATCTCGGTTTATACGGTCTCATCCGAAGGACCGGTCTCCACGTCCCACAGTGGGATTCGTTAAGTTTAATGATATAAATTAATAATTTTCTCTATCATTTCTGTAAATCTTGTGAGCAAGCCTTGTATGTATATAAGAATAATTATATTGAATAAATTATCCATAAAATTGTTTGTTGTTTAACGACCCTCTCGAGAATTTTTCTCTTATATGGAAACGCCACCACTTTTCGGTGGAGGGCTGCAAATTTGGACCTATACTCGGCACTTAGGGCCATTGAGCAGTGAAGGATCTTCTTCGTGCCAGCACCTACTGCGACATGGGACCTCGGTTTATACGGTCTCATCCGAAGGACTGGTTTCCACGTCGTGCAGTGGGACCATAAAGTTGTAAATTCGTATGAGATGCATATAGCTGAATCTATTGATATATAAATCTTTAAAATTTTTATTTACACATGGTCAGATAGAGTAAAGATTGTGAACATAACTGAAATTTGCAATGAACCTTTTACGAAAATAACATTTTCTTGTCTTTCATACAATAGCTTAGACTTCAAAGAAGGTCTAATTTCACACACTTCTTGAAGATATCTTAGAAAAGCATCTCATCTATTTTTTTTTTTTAAATCACGGATGGATACAACTGTTGGAGGCAAGTTATACACTATATATAGCTAGACAATATTTTGTCAACATTCTCATCTGTAGATAGAACATTTGTTTAATCGGCACAACTAAATTCAAATTGCTATTATGCCAAATGAAGCCGAATTTGCGAATGTCTTGGAGTCAAAACAAGACCCTCAAATGGCTTCATTGTTTCTAAACCAATATCCGAGCCTGTTCGCGCAATGTTATGTACTGATATGAAGCTGGTGGTTTCCGGTGGGGGCCAGAAAGGTTGCAACATCGGCGATGTCCATGTCTCTGAAATGATGTAGAGCGATATGTTTATCATATCACATAGTAGTCGCCCCGTGCTTTGGCATCTGTTCCCGTCCACCATGCACACTTTCGGTTGCATCACACTCTTGCAATGATTGTGCTTTGTCGATTGAATGTCGCAACCCCCCTGTCAAAAACATTTTTATATTTGCCAATCTAATCGCAATATCTTCTATAATTTAAAAGAGACAAAAAGTTTGTTTCAATTTTTTACAAACCTATCTTTGAAACATCCTACAGGCACCACAATGACTGTCCTATAACAGTTCTTTTATTATTATTATTATTATTAGTTTCATTTTAATGCAATCATAAAGAACACAAACACAAAGAAAAAAATTGAAAATTATTCCTCAAAAAAGAATTTTCATGCAGTTCTAGGAAATAGTTACGCTCCAGTAGATATATATACTGAAATTACTTATTAGTTTGGGCATTTAAATGTCTTATTTCAACAAAAAGTAACGGCATGAGCAAGTTTTAGAAAGGGACTATTACATTGCTTTGGCGGTGCGTTAGCAATTTTGTCTAGTGTATAGATCATACTCTCCTCTTTTCAAAAAAATTGAGAAAGTCATCTTTTTATAGTAAGATATATGCAAGGACAGTCATTAGTGTTTATTTATGAATCACTACATATTTTACATATCTATCTACATATCTTTCACAGATACGTAAAGAAACAATGAAACTAAGCAATGAACTTTATATTTTACGACAAAACATTGAGTACTAGTAAATTATTTGGTTCGATCTTGTTTATCGTATTGTCAGCTGATTTTACATTTATGACACTGAAGTGCAGAATTATTTATAAGATGATATGATATACTATGATCAGAAACTAAATATCTAGAACTAAGTCCAAAAATAACTGAGCAGTCTGTAGGAAGATACAGTCTAGAAAAAAAATTAGCTGATTGCAATAAAATTTTATAATTTCAAATGACTATGATTTTCAGAAATCCGTGTATAAGTTTTGCATATCATGCAGTTGTCTGTTTAAGCATAAGAATAGTTGTTAATCAACATAAATGTGTTTTCAAGCATGACGTGACGCCTTCATTTGATTAATACAGAAGAACAAAAATTTTTTTTTTTAATGAAGTTCATACGTTACTTTTTTATTTTAAGAACAATGACGATAACTTTGGGCTTGTTGTGCACTTTATGCTCGAAAGAGTGGAAACAGCATATAATTTATACAATTTCGTTTTTTGGATTTTTTCATTCCTCTGATGAATTGCAAACAAATTTTAAATAAACCGTCTCCATATTCACACCGGATATGAATTTTATAATGTTGGTAATAATTTTCACATTTGGAATAACTAACATTGTTTTGCATAGTGAAAAATATGAATTTCGAATAGCGTGGATGGCTCCGAGTAAGAAGTATTATAATTTAAGTGCCTCCTCCAGTGTTGGTGCATTTAAAGTTGCCTTAACTGCTCTAAGTCAAAACTGGAATTCACCTCAGACTGTTTTTCAGAATTCCACCATAAAGTAAGTAAAGTAAATTTGGATATGCCATATATAATAATGTTTTTATTATCATTATTTTTCCATACTTGGCTGTAATTTCGTTATATGTATGTTCTGTTCGAGGTATATGATCACAATTCTCAATACTAACTGTTACCAAAGTAATTAAAAAGAAATTAGTGTATTCTGATGTTCAAAATTATAATCTGTACCATTATCCAAAATACATTGTATTGGACAAATTTGAAATAATTCCAAAAAGTGCATTGCATTAGTTTAATTTTATTAATACCAATATCATAAGTCTCATTGTGATCCTAGGTTTTTTTTTCTATGTTTTTATGTCTGATTTAATTCTTTAAGTGTTATTTTCATGATGCAATTTTTCTTTCCAGCTTTTTGACATATCCTTGTACACAAACGCCTTTCTACTTTCAGAGTAAAGTGGTATGATACAGACTGCAATGAAAAGACGGCCTTGGCCGCTGTTTTAGACGCAAAAGAAACATATAATCCAAATGTCATCTTTGGACCACCCTGCCCTGTTAGTAAGTGCATATACATGTGTATAACAAAAACGCAGTCAGTGCATGTGAGACATGGCCTAGAAATAGTTAATGACTAGATCTGTTGCATTACTACTGCAATGTTTATGCTTACTAAACAGTTGATGAAGTATTTATTTTGATTTTGCTATTTCAACTAAAACTGTTTCTCCAACGCTGTGTTGAATCAAAGAACAACTATGAAAAACTTATTTTATGAATATCAATTTTGACAGTACATATTGTCGTTCTGTACATATTGTCACTGGCGACAATCTGAGCCTATCCTCAATGTACTTATTGTCGTCTATCGGTACACACTGTCGCAGGATGTATACTTGTACACGTGTGCATAATGTCGCAGGTACCCTCATTAAACATATTTTTGTCTCACTGTTAGGGTTACAGTTATATGGATGACGATGATACTGTCGAGGTACATATCTTCAGTTTTCATGAGATTGTATTTTCATTAAACAGCAAATCAAGAAAGTGTTTTGTACACACAGTTGTCATTTTAATTCCTCTGAAGCAGCTATCATGGAACACTATATTAGATACAGTTGTATACAAGTTATACGGTAAAGAGTGTAAACATGATAAATATGCATGTAAATACGATAATGAAATAGGCAAAAATAACGAAGAGTGATGAGATGGGATGGAGTGGGATCGATCAGGTTCCTAGGACGAGTTGTGACGGTACATATTGTCGTTTTGTTCAGATTGTCGTAGGCGACAATATGCACCTTCCCTCACTGCACATATTGTCGTCCATCGGTACATATTGTCGCCGGCTGAAAAGTTGCAAATGTACATGTTGTCGCTGGAGACATTTGTGACCTACCCTCACTGCAAATATTGTCGCTCCACAAATATTGTTGCAAATAGATTTCTTTGTTGCTTTTTTTTAAATTTTGTGAATGTAGTTGCAATTGGTGTGTAAATCACACTTACATGTCTCCTGTACTAATTCATGTAGCGGGATTGTGACGGTACATATTGTTGTCCTGTTCATATTGTCGCCGGCAACAATGAGTATCTACCCTCACTGCACAAATTTTCGTCCATCAGTACATGTTACGTGACAATGCTTCCATATCAATATGACTTAACATTGCTTTGCTGTTCTTGAGAAAATTTTGAAGAAATTTCCTATCTATTCCTTTGTAAAACTTTGATCGCACATTATGCCCCCACCCTTAAGCCGGGGTTCATGATTTGAAGAAACTTAAATTAACACTACCTGAGGTTGCTTTCGTATAGTAATTACTAATCATGAGCGTATTTTTCTTGAGAAGATTTTAAAATATATTCTTTGCATATTCCTACGTAAAACTTTGATCGCCGGCTGTGACCCCACCCTATCCCTGGGGGCCATCATTTAAACAAAACTGTACAAAAATGTACACTAGGTAATGTTTTGTTTGTTTGTTTGTTGTTTTAAGGTCCCTCTCTAGAATTTTTCACTCATATGGAGACGCCACCATTTGCCGCTGGAGAGCTGCAAATTTTGACCTATACTCGGCACTCAGGATCATTGAGCAGTGAGGGATCTTCTTCGTGCCAGCACCTACTGCGACATGGGACCTCGGTTTATACGGTCTCATCCGTAGGACCGATATCTTAAAAATCGGCCTATTCTTTTTTCTTATAATATATACTTGGAGATTGAATACGTGTACGTGTACAGGTGACTCTCGATGGCTCGAACTCCTATCTCTCGATGTTCTCGATCTCTCGAAGTGAACCTCCGGTACCGTTTTTTTTTCTTCTATATAACTAAGCAAATTTACTTCTGATCTCTCGAACTTCCGATCTCTCGAAGTTCTCTATCTCTCGAACCAACACCTGGGTCCCATCACACACATTTCTTTGGTTTTTACTCTCTATTTCTCGAAGTTATATATGATTGCGCGTGTGTATACGCTAATCAAGCGTAAAATTAATGCAGCTTGGACTTACCTGGAAAACAGTGAACGCCTGGAGGTGTTAATTGGGTGTTTACATAGATGACACTATACCTGTCAGCTTCCGAGTATTGATATAATTAATTGATTATAATTGGTAAATTATAAACGGATTGCTTCACAACTTATTTTGACTTGACAGCGAGAGGATATTTTTTAGAAAATAATAACGTGTCAATAATTTTCCATAGATTATGAAGTTTTATTAGAGTCTATATAATCCCAGTATTACAAACATTGCACAAGAAATTTTATCACAGTATCTGGATGCCTATTTGATACGAGAAATCTGGTGAAGGACCCGATCTTACCCGGGGGGTAGCCACACCGACGATCGCTATTGAGGTTTCATGAAATCATGAAATGGGAACAAATAAATACAAAAAGTTAAAAAGATCATTTTATTTATTCAAAATACGATCACTGTTGTTGAAATCAAGTGAATTACCTGTAAAATACGAATGAAAACGTGCAATGACATTATCAACATGTACTTCCGGTATTTATAATAGTAAAACAATGATGATCGGAACTGAAAATTCCGGATTTTATTCACTTTCTATCTTTCGAACCCCTCGATCTCTCGAACTTTTCTTGCGGTCCCTTGAACTTCGAGAGATCGAGCATCACCTATATTAGTTTTCTTGTTTAGTAGTAATAATTATTTGGAAATTAGTTTTTGCGTCGTTCTTATATACAATTATGTGCCGATATAATTGGTGTTTGGGTTGACAGTTTTAGATCACGTGAACTGGAAGTTCCAGTGAGCGTTTCTGAACACATTTTGTCTGACCGTCCCTCTGTCAGTAAACTTTTCACAGTTTCAGCTTTTTCTCAAGAACTACTGGGTCAATTTCAACCAAACTTGCTGCAAAGCATCCGTGGATAAAGGGGATTCAAGTTTGTTCAAATGAAGAGCCATGCCCTCTTTCAGGGGAAGTAATTAAGAATTACTGAAAATTTAGTGACATCTTTTAAAAATCTTCCTAAGAACCACTGTGTCAGAAAAGTTGAAACTTATGTGAAAGCTTCATTCTGAAGTAGAGATTTAGTTTTATTCAGATCATGTCCCTTGGGGGAAGGGTGTTGCTACAATAGGTGATCAAAGTTTTTCACAAAATATTTAGAAATAAATTCTTTCAAAATCTTTTTTTCTACTGGGTCAGAAGAGATGACACATGTGAAAGCTTCATTACATAGCGTACATTCAATTATGAGGTGCAGGCAGGCAAAAGGTCCCTCACTGCTCAACGACCCTGAGTGCCAAGTATAGGTCTAAAATTGCAGCCCTCCACCGGCAAGTGGTGACGTCTACATATGAATGAAAAATTATCGAGATGGATATTATAACAACAAACAAACAAACAAAAACAAAATCAATTTTGTTCAAATCATGACCCAAGGGGTAGGGTGGGGCCACAATGGGTGATAAAAGTTTTACATAGGAATATAAGGGAAAATTCTTTGAAAAATTTTCTTCTCAAAAAAGGCAAAGCAATGATCTATAGTCTATATGGAAGTATTGCCATGTATATCATGCGACATGTACTGATGGACGAAAATATGGGCAATGAGGGTAGGTACACATTATCGCCGGCGACAATATGAAAGGACATCACAATCACGCTGAATGAAATAGCATACGAGACACGTCAGTGTGATTTACACATCAAATACATTCACAAAACTACCAAAACACAACAAAAAAATCTTTAAGCAACAATATCTGTGGGGCGACAATATGTGCAGTGAACGTAAGGCACATAACGTCGCCAGTGACAATATGTACATATGTAACTTTTAAGCTGGCGGTAATATGTACCGATAGACGACAATATGTGCAGTGAGGGTAGGTACATATTGTCACATTATGTGCAAAATGACAATAGGTTCCGTCACAACCCGCGACGTAATGATCAACTCCTTACTCTGCTACTCTAGAGCAAATGCTCTAACCACTGCGCCACGCGGGCGACCAAAATGTAATGAAGCTATCACATCAGTATCAATGCTTCTCGAGAAGAAGATTTTGAAAGATTCTGTTCCTTTCTATTCCTATGTAATACTTTGATCATCTACTGTAGCTCCACTCTTCCCCGGAGGGTCATGCAATGAATAAGATTAAATCAACGCTTTACAACGCTTTTCCAGATAGTAATTACACTTGAACAAAAAATTAACATTCAATCTCATAGTATAACGAGAATAAAAGAATATGCTGATTTCTGATATCAAAAATTATAATATCTTGGCATAAAATAGTGGTGTATATCAATTCTGGAAACAATTTTCTGACCAAAACCTTTTCCCCTACAATATTGCGAGTAATGCGAAATTAATACAACATGTTTACTTATTTATCTGCTCTCTCTCTCTCTCTCTCTCTCTCTCTCTCTCTCTCTCTCTCTCTCTCTTGTGTCCTTACGACTAAATAGTTTTTATCATAAAAAAAATATGGGAATAAAGTATTTGAAAATGCAATGGAATGACAACATTTGCAGCTTTGTAACCTTTTTTTTTTTAGATATTCCCAAGAAATCAATACAAAATACCTATATTACTTTACACTGGTTATTTAATTACATGTACATATATATTTAAGGTCTTAGAGGAGTTGCTCTTTTAGCTGCACACTGGAATATACCAGTATTTGACTGGGTATCACAAGGGGAAGAATTTCAAGATCGAAAAAAGTATTCAACTTTGGTACGCTTCTTGGGACCCCTATCACGCTTTCGTAAGTATGGCACTCCATGAATATATATATATATATATATATATATATATATATATATATATATATATATATATATATATATATATATATATATATATATATATATATATATATATATATATATATATAATGCCTCCGTAATCGAAGATTCGGGTGTATATAGTCTTTGCCCTGTCCGTCCGCCTGTCTGTCTGTTTGTCTCTTTATCTGTTTGTCTGCAAAACTTTAACATTGCCCATACCTTTTGATTGGTTGAACCTATTGCTCTCATATTTCACATGTGTATTCCTTGTGACAAGATCTTTCTTAGGGTACCAACATATTTGATCTGTTGACATTGACCTTGGAGTTTGACCCAATTTTGCAAGAATTTACACAACTTTTACCTTGGCCATAACTTTACATGTGTATTCATTGTGATAAGACCTTTCCATGGATGAAAATATTCTTTGACCTTAACCTTGACGTTTGACCCATTTTTTTAAAAAAAAACTTTAAAATTGAACGTAACTGTTGAAAAGTTAGTACTAGGGCCTTTATATTTCACAGGTGATTCCATATGACAAGGCCTTTCTTTGGATACTAACTATTTTTACCTTGGAGTTTGACCTACTTTAGAAAAACTTTTACCTTGGCCGCAGCTTTTGAACAGTTGCTTGGACTTTAATATTTTAAATATGTATTATGACAAGGCCTGGGTACCTTTGATTTAAGCTTGACCTTGGAGTTTAACCCACATTTAAAAAAAAACTTTAACCTTGGCCATAACTATTGGTTAGTGCTTGGGCTATCATATTTCACAGGTATATTCATTGAGAACAAGTCCTTTCTTTGGGTAACAACAATTTTTATCCCTTGACCTTTGAGTTTGACTTGCATTTTTTGCTGTCATACGGAGGCATCTGTGTTTCACAAACACATCTTGTTTCTATTGATCATAATTAACTACAAGTATATATGTATGAAAAAACAGTATCTGTTTCAAAGATTACAAATAATGTAGAATCATTTGTTCCCAAAAGAAATTAATTCTTCAACAAAAATTAATGGTAAAAGACGGAAAACATATGGGATTTATTAAAATTCAGTTGTAACAATTCTCCAATGCCAAATGTGCCTTATCGTCTTTCATGAGGGTCAATATTCGAAGGTAATCAGATTTTTACCTGTTCCTGTGTATTTCCCATGAACTGATGATTGAACATCAGAAGCAATGACAAACCTAGTTACTCTACGCTTTAAAATTTTCTTCCTATGTATCTCTTCCTTACATTTCTATAAATTTCTATAAGGAAAGTTTCCTCCGGCTAAGTGAAATAATTTTTTCAATTTTTTTTTTACTGAATTAAACTTGCATTTTAGATACATGTTATGAGTTGGTTTAATCGATCTATTACGTTTATTGATATACTTTTTTTTTCTTTCAGCGGATGTTATTTTCCACATTATGTCTCTCTTTTCGTGGACACAATTTGCAATTATTTTTGACAAAAGAGATCAACATAGGGCCTTGGCGTCTGAAATTTCTAAATCCCAAAATAAGTCGTGGTACAGAATCTTACAATCGTTTGAAGTTTCCAACAATATGGAGGAGGAAAATATAGAACAAATTTTCACGGAATTGAAACGCAATTCTAGGAGTACGTTTTCCCCTTTTCTTTCTTAAAAAGAACACTAATATGCTTTCCTTGGAATGTTTTGTTAGTCACAATTTTAGACCTATCACATCCAAGGACTGGTTAGAATCTTTACCGTGATAGTGCTTGTTCTAACACCTTCAAAATGTGTAACTTCCACTTTAATATCAAGCTTTTATAAGTGAACAGTCAGTCGCCGAATCACATGTCATGAATCGAACACATGATCTTTACATATGCAGACTGAGTTAGTGAAATCAAGTTGATTTGTTTTGTAGAGGATTATTTGACATGTATAAAAGTTTCTTTGGTACATATTTATGTATTCAAGTGTTTATAGATCAAAATAAAATTTTAATTCTGTTTCTTTTTTGAAATAAAAAGATCAAAAATAAATAACTAAAATGAATTTTTCTAGATTGCTTCGGTAATAAACATTATTTTGCAGTTATCATCATGGTATTACCTTGGTTGGACATGCGGAGATACATGTTAGTTGCTTATAAACTTGGAATGACAAAGGGAGAGTTTGCTTTTCTTTGTATTCATAGTGAAGTACGTGTACCATTCTTTTCATTTATATCTTTAATTTTCTACTCTGTAATATTCATTACTAATGAAGTAAGAAAAACATACTATTGATAGCTACAACTACAAGTAAAGTTTGAACAGTATGTTTTTATCTTTAGTTGACTTGGATGGTATCGTATATTATGTTCATTATCAGAAATCTTAAATTTGTTTAATATATCAGTCAGTTTTTTATTTATCTTTTTATTATTATTTTTTTTTTTAGTAGAAAAATGTTATTTTTGCTTAATTTTTATTTCAGCTATACACATATGACACAATGGAATCTGATGTATTTTCTGATAAGGTTTGGAGAAGAAATGACTCGAGTGACGATATAGCAAGGGAAGCATTTGAACCAGTATTTCATGTAAACCAATTAAGTCCTTTGTTTCTTGTAACCAATAATATAAATGGATGTTAATTTATTATATATCTACTTCGATCGAATTTTCAATGATAGTCATCAATATATTAAATATTGTAACTCCATTTAAAGTATATAATGGATATTTTTTAGACAGGAATGTTGAGATATTGTTGAAGTATCCTATATTTTTTAATCGGTAAATCAAAAGTTTCTTGCCATTTGGATACTTTAGATCATTGATTATTTCTGATTATTAATTTTTTGATGTTCTTTATACATTTTTTTTCAAATAAAGCATTTAAATATTCATTGCACATAAAAAAATAATAAAGAACCGCAAAGAGTAAGATTTTATAGGAGACCTGATATGTTGAATATTTGAAATTGAACAATCTCGTTAATCGAAGTAATATAAAAAATTTAATGACATAATGAAATAGGTGAAAATAACGAACAGTGATCGATCTCAAACCTATAAACAATACAAATCTGTGAAAAGGGCATAAAACACGGACCTCTGGAGGTGGGATCCGGTCCTAGGAGGAGTAAACATCCCCAGAAGACTGGTCAAACCCGCCGTGAGCTCTACGTATTTATCAGGTAAACGGAAATATCAGTAGTCAAATTTAACATAAAAACGGCCAAACAATTGGTATGAAATATGTCAGTCATAACACAACCCAATGGTAGGGTGTATTTACTAATAAGGTCATTATAACGACCATGGAATTTACGAAATACTGACTTTAAACGAAGTTTTTGAAATCCCTGTAACATCAACTTATTTTCAGTAGCCTGTCTCGCTTGTAAAATTGATCATATTCAGAGCATGATCAAAAATACCGAATAAGTAGAGAGACATAAACACAAAAAGCAGGGGAAAGTGGAATACTACTACATAAATGAGGAAAGTTGACGATGGAGAAGCCACCTCGTTTGTCATACGGTTAAGTTGATAGTTGGCCCTTATCGTCTATTCTCAATAAAACATTCAAATGTAAAACGAAAGTGGCAATTTTTGTGGTATCTTTTATTTCGAGTTCAATGGGATATATCGAGTGGACATAGGGATAGAATGGGAATTGATAAAACGTCTTCGATATATCTGAATGTCGAGTTGAAAGGTTCCATAAAGTGTTAAAAAGTCATATGTTTTAATATTACGGACTTTTGAAAAGTTTGAGATTTTAAATTCTCTAAAAGTTCTTTAGAATTTATGTGAATCTACATTTGATAAAACCACTTTTCGGATATACAGAGCACAGTAGATCTGTAGTTTCTCATTTACAACAGTTAATATTTTTGTGAGGAGTAAAGATAGGGGCTTGGTAAAGCAGTTTCTGGACCTGACAATGTATCTTTGTAAGGATTTTTATAAGTTTAGGAATCCAGTATAGAATGGGTAGATTGAAATTACTTTCGTTGTCTGGAATGTTAAAAATTTTAAAGACTGGAATGTGATTTTGAAGAATTTCATTCTTAGAGCGTGAGTATAAGTTGGATTTCCAGATGTAGAATTAAAACCAATTTCTTTTAAAATGCATTTGAAATAATGAGTTTTACAAACAAGGACGATACTGTTGAAAGCCTTGTCTGCTGGAACCATAAAATATGAAAGGATATATGGTTAGCAAATTGCCTTTTTATTTCCTGACACGATTCTTTAATAAATTTCTAAAAGACTTTATCCAGTTCTTTAATAAATTTCTAAAAGACTTTATTCAGTGTGACAAAGTGTTCAGGTCTTCCTCTTCATATTTCGCCCATCGTCTAGCATAATCCTCAACAGAATTTATAAAGAAAATGAAATTACGCATTGGTGTTCCCTGTGTTTAGGACTTTAACAATTTAAGAGGTCAATTAATTCTCTAAAAACTATATGTTTTAGATTTTGGTGAAATCCTTAGAGAAAGATCCATGGACTCTTTTCAAAGCAGTTGCTAAAGAAAATGGCAATAAATCTAATCCTAACTGGAATATACCTGTTAAGCCTACTTTGGTAAGTATTCCTATGGAGGTACGTACTGTCGATATTTCTTATACTATATCATTGCATGTTATATCAAAAGCTCAATAACTGCACATATACATTTGATTAACCATAGCTTTGTGCATTATATTTGTGTATCTTTTGCTATTCACCCATGCTTAAAGTATAATATGAATAAAAATCAAACTTCAGGCGTTGTTTAGTAATTTTTATCTAATCTTCACCATTTCTTCCACATTCAGTATGCGTTTTTTAAAAATTTATAAAGATTTGGATAACTCCAATGAATTTAATGAACATTTTTACTTACTGATAATCATAACACCTTCAAAGTAACAAAGCATGATGATATGAAATCATTCATTCATTCAAGCCAGACGCCTACTCAGCTTACCTGTTTGATGCGGTATTAATGTGGACAATGTTAACTGATAAACTACTAAAAGTAAAGAAAAATCCACTTGACGGGGAACTCATGGCTAAAATGGCTACAACTTTGACAGATAAAGGTATTTTTAATAAGTTCTGCTTAAAGACTTTTCTCTGTCTGATTATTTTCTGATTCTGCTTTACTTTCTGTGCATGAAGAATATTTTTGTTTTCTTATGTAATGACATTTTTTTTTTCATTTTGTTCTGTCAGAGGAAGTTGATGGTTTAACTGGAAAAGTGAACATAGATCATCAGGGAGATAGAAATCTTGACTTCCAAGTTCTAGACATGTCCGTTAGTGGTACATTTAGCAGAATCATTTCTATTAATTATCTCAGTAAAGGGATAAAGGAGATTAAATTTGAGGTATAAATTTGAGGTACCAGTACATAATTTAATATCTTTATATAAATCCTTTCATCTATTGATATATTTTCCACTGGTCAAGTCAAACAAATAAATATGCTTTTAATCATTTTTATATTACCTAAATTATATAACAAATCTTTGATATACCTACACTGTTTTAAAAGCAATGTCTATATACTCCCTGAATTTCTTTGACATTTTCTGCATTCATTAAACGAATCTTTCGATAATTTTGTGTATATCTATCCATTCCGTTTCTTACCTGTAATAAGGAATATTGTTAAAAGAAGAGAAATCAAGAAAGTTTTACCTAACCTGTATTTCTAAACATGAGTCTTTAGTATATGGGAAGAAAATGTCCAAAAAAAAAATCAATCTCACAATTCTTTTAGCCTTGACGTCAAATAAACACTCAACTATGACGTCTAAGCCTACGACACTGCGTTACGAGAAGAAAATCTATTAACAGAAAGATTCAATTTCTTGTAGTTGGATATGAAATTTATTTCACTTGCGAGAGAGGCTATTTTTACATTTTAACCCGTGCTTTGCACTCTTGGAAATTTCTTTAAAAATACTGTCCCACTCTTGAAATAAATTCCATGTCCAAGTATAAAACATTATATATATATATATATATATATATATATATATATATATATATATATATATATATATATATATATATATATATATATATATATATATATATATAGAGGATATTCAATGTTTTGTAGATGAATATGGAATTTATTTCACGAGTGGGACAGGATTTTTTGATATTTTCACGAGTGCGAAGCACGAGTGAAAATATCAAAAAATCCTGTCTCATGAGTGAAATAAATTCATATTCATCTACAGAACATTGAATTTTCTGTTTATTACATTTTTTTTATTTTCCCTTTGCCTCTGTCTTTTCTTAACACAGTGTCATAGGCTTGACTTCATAGTTGAGCGGTTGAGACGTCATAGCTTACCAGTTGCGAGATTGAAAACATTACATAGCATGGATTTTAGCAACATATTTGGGAAGAAATTTGCAGTTTTAGCTCTGTCAAGATGGTTAGTTATACTATCTCTATCTTATGACAGGCCAGAAATTATTTTTTACTTACTTTGATATCCTTTCACACTGTGAGAGAATATCATTTTGGTATCCTTTCACACTGTGAGAGAATACCACTTTTATTCAATAAATAAATCACAGTATTTCACTGTTGAAAATGTAATAAATATATATATATACTCTTGATTGTTTTATTTCAATGGAAAAAATGCAGCTTATTAAGGACAGATGATACAAACAAACTTTCATCAAAAGTTTTGAAAATAACAATTTCATTCATGTTTTTATAAGTAAAATGAATAAGTTTAACCGCATAGATTTTTGTTTTTCTTTCAAATTTAAAGTTTCACATTATTCTGATTTAAAGTGACAAAAATCTGTATAGATTATTAAGGATGGTTACAGAAAGGTGGAATTTTGGACATCCCAGAAAGTTTACAATTTCTTAATATTTTAGAAATTTACTATTCAAATCATTTACACCCAAAATAGGTAAAGTAAATATATACCAATCCAGGCATCCATTTTTTTGTTTGTATCATCTGTCCTTAAATACCATCTCATTCATAATTCTTTTAAATTTATAATTTAAGGGTAATAAGACAGCAGACCACGTCAGTCGATGGCCAAATGGCAAAGAAGGCGTCAAGAATGCTCCTCCTGATGAGCCTAAATGTGGCTTTATTGGTGAAAAATGTCCAGTGGCGGAGAAACGACCAGGTCAGTTCATTATAAAAGATTGGTAATCAGAGACAGGCAGACGGGGTTTTTTTTTACCTGCATCTATTTTGACAATAACACATACACATTGTTACATGAAATGAAGTAAGTCATTGATTAATGTGCGTACAATGGTTTGCACTCAAAGGGAATCTAGCAATAAGCTATTAACTTTTTTAAAAAAAACGTCTATCCATCTATGCTGAAGGGAAATAATTGTGAATCATTCGTCAAATTTTGGCCAAGAGAAATGAAGATAAGGTGAAGATAACGAACAGTGATTGATCTCAATAATCTTTTTAACAATATATTTGTGAACAGTGCATAATTAAAACTCGGACCTCTGGAAATATCCGAGGTGGAATAAGATGCCTAGGAGAAGTAAGCATTTACTGTTGACCAATCAGATCACCGTGAACCCTATGTATTAATCAGGTAGAGGGAATGATCCGGAGTCAAGTTAAGTATAAAGACAATGGCTTTAATTGGTATGAAAAAGGTCAGTCAAAATACGACCAAATGAGAAATTTTATTTGCAAACAAAGCCAAAGAATTCTTTAAATGAGGTTGTCGAAATCCTTGTTATATCAGCTTATTGTCGATTTCAAAATTGGTCGTACTCAGAGCATGCTATTGCCTATCGAATAGACATAAAACCTTATGCATCTAATAGTGAAATATTACTATATAAATAGGCAAAGTTGATGATGGAAAAGCTAAAGTCATGTCGGATGTAATTCAGTTTTGTTGTTAGTTAAAAAGCGAGAAACTTTCAGTCTTAATAGTTACATGATTTACACTATGCACATTTTATTTGTAAGAACTTGTCTTCTCAACTTGAAAGTAAGGGTCTTATCAATAATAAGGAGACTTAACATTATTACTGAATTACTAATTATTCCGAAAATTATTCTCCCCATGCGATGATTTTCCTAGTCAAATATATATTAATTAACGAACATTTTGTATTTAATCATATATATTTGTACATTGCTGCACAAACGTTGCTAGTTTTATTGTTACTATTTTGTTTTAAGATGAAACACGATAAGTTTCTTTAATATTAGATTAAATGAGATAATGCCTTGAATTTATGCAGCAATTTTATCAGCCTTTGGAATTTCCTTTCTATCATTAGTCCCCTACCAGTGAAACCGGAGGGGACTATAGGTTTCCTCTGAGTCTGTCGTCCGTCTGTCTGTCTCTCAGTCTGTCCCACTTGGTTTTCCGCACTTTTTTCCTAAACGCTTGCAGATATTGAGCTGATTTTTTGGTATATGAGTGTATCTTGATGAGTTACAGATCAAGTTTGGTTTTCGTTCCGCTTCATTGATTTTTGACGGAAATACTACCTTTTCAATTTTTAAGGGTTTTCCGCTATTTCTTTTTTATAAACGCTTGCAGATATTGAGCTGATTTTTGGTATGTGACTTAATCTTGATAACTTATAGATCAAGTTTGCATTTCGTTCCGCTTCAATGATTTTTGACGGAATTATGGCATTTTCAATTTTTAAGGGGAACTAGATTACACTTGCCGGTAGGAGACTAGTATTGCTAATGCAATACTCTCAGAGTATTTATTTTGCTATGTGACTAATTTACGCTTCATTTAATGGCAAATTGGAAGTCAATATTCAGTTTCTAAATATTGTTCTACATTGTGCTGAATATACCGTTGTATCTGAAAAAATTTAAGACTGTTTTCTGTTATTTAATTTTTTTCTTTTAAACTGCTACAACTTTAGGGAAAATAACATAAGAACTACAACAGCCTCTTTGCAGCTCTCCACCGGCAAGTTGTGGCGTCTCCATATGAGTGAAAAATTCTCGAGAGGGACATTAAACAACAAACAAACAAACAAACAAATTCCGTCAAAAATCATTGAGGCGAAACAGAATAAAACTTGATCTGTAACTCATCAAGATACACTCACATACTTAGAATCAATTCAATATCTGCAAGCATTTAGAAAAAAAAAAGTGCGGAAAACCAAGTGGGACAGACTGACAGACAGACAGAGGGACAGCTGGACAGTAAGACAGCTAGACAGACGGACAGACGCAGAGGAAACCTATAGTCCCCTCCGGTTTCACCGGTAGGGGACTAATAAAACATAAATAAATTTTATTTACTCCTACAATATTTAAACACTGGAATAAAAATTTGTAACCCACTAATTATAAGTCCCCTACCGGTGAAACCGGAGGGGACTATAGGTTTCCTCTGCGTCTGTCCGTCTGTCTGACTGTCCGTCTGTCTGTCCCTCTGTCTGTCTGTCAGTCTGTCCCACTTGGTATTCCGCACTTTTTCTCCTAAACGCTTGCAGATATTGAGCTGATTTTTGGTATGTGAGTCTACCTTGATGAGTTAAAGATCTAATTTTCACTATGTTCCGCTTCAATGATGTTTTGACGGAATTACGGCATATTCAATGTTTAATGGGAACCGGATTACACTTGCCGGTAGGGGACTAGTATTGCTAATGCAATACTCTCAGAATGCTTGTTTTACCATGTTTCTGTAAAATTAAAGGATATGCCCTTCCACCGAATCTGTTTTGTTGATGTTCCTTTTTGAGTTTTAAGAACACTGACGCCATAAAAATTTACTATAACATATTAATTGTGGGTGCTGAATATACATTACAAAGTGAGTTAAAACCGTTTTTGTATAAAAGGCTACATCTTACCTATTTCAATTAGCTCATTCGAATCTTTGTTAGGGAATACCTCATGAGACTCAAAAAACATTGCCATAATCATATCGTATCCTCGCATATCCTGCTAGATTCTCATCTTCTTATTCCTTTCAAACACTACATGTAATTTTGTGACGTCACAATTCCAAATGAAATTTGTATTGGAATATTTTGTTTCTAAAAATTGTATTTATTACTCCCCTACCGGTGAAACCGGAGGGGACTATAGGTTTCCTCTGAGTCTATCCGTCCGTCTGTCTGTCTGTCTGTCTGTCTGTCCGTCTGTCTGTCTGTCTGTCCGTCTGTCCCTCTGTCTGTCTGTCAGTCTGTCCCACTTGGTATTCCGCACTTTTTTCCTAAACGCTTGTAGATATTGAGCTGATTTTTGGTATGTGAGTGTATCTTGATGAGTTACAGATCAAGTTTGCATTTCGTTCCGCTTCATTGATTTTTGACGGAAATACGACCTTTTCAATTTTTAAGGCTTTTCCGCAATTTTCTTCTAAACGCTTGCAGATATTGAGCTGATTTTTGGTATGTGACTTTACCTTGATTAGTTATAGATCAAGTTTGCATTTCGCCCCGCTTCATTGATTTTTGACGGAATTATGGCATTTTCAATTCTTAACGGGAACCAGATTACACTTGCCGGTAGGGGACTAGTATTGCTAATGCAATACTTTCAGAATGCTTGTTCAATTACTAAATGAGACATATATTTAAAAAAAAAAAATACGTTAAGGCTTGTGTTTCTGGCGGTTGTTTCAAATGGTATCACGTATTTTGGGACACTCTGCATAAGGGTTTAATAGAAAAACAGATTAAAAAACTTTTCAATTGATTTTATTTATTCAGCATTTGATACATTATACACATCATTTTCCTTTTTTCAGACAGCGTGTACATTATAATCATATCCATACTTGGAGCTTTACTTGTCTTCAGCATTACTATCATCATCTACTGCGTTTTCAAGTAAGTCACAAGTGTTTTATAATCAAAGAGCTTTGTCTGATAAACGTATCTCATATATTGGGGAAAATATGTATTTCACCATATTCTGTCCGACTGTTTCATTTTCGAATAATAAAAAATGAGTTTAAACTTGTCTCTATCTTTAGAAAATTATGCTAAATGTAGGGAAATAAAGAAACGTATTTTCTCAAATCTTGCTAAAGATGCAGATCCGTGTTTTTTTTCTTTTTGCTTCTATTGAAATGGGATCAAATATTGATACTGGGTGGACAGATGGGTAAAGTCCTTCTCCCACTTTTACCCTTATAAATTAGATGTTCATTTTTTTTCTGGAAAATAAGGATATTGTTGATCTACGTCTCTATGTAAGGTTTAGATGTTTTAGATTTCTAAAAAATTAAAATGACAAATATGTCCAATATAGGTCAGAAACGTATGTTTACCCCAAAGATGGAGGTGTATATGTATGTATGTAGCAAATGTTCAATATATATATATATATATATATATATATATATATATATATATATATATATATATATATATATATATATATATATATATATATATATATATATATATATATATATATATATTAAACAAATATAAAAAGAAAACACAAGAATCCTCCGTAAAGCTTTAGCGCTTTCATTAAAAATCTTCAGAAGCTTTACATTACAAAAATGTATACACAACGGTAACATAGTAACAATGATTATGACGTTAAACTAAGCGGAACGTTTAATGTCTATATTGTGACGTCATAGATAAAATACTGCAATGATGATGAAAAAGTTCGGGAAAATCATAGGTAGTTTATAAGAGACTATTAAGTTTTGGCTTTAGAATACAAATAAAATGTTTTTCTTTTTCCCGTCTCTGGATATCACTGGCACATCTGAGTTTATAAAAAGGGAAAAAGTTAAATCGTTTTTATCCACAAGTTTCCAGATGTGCACTTAACTGGATTTGTCTATATTCAGGTGTACTGATGTGTTGCTTATGTACACGTACACGGGCACGGACGGAGACTGTTGCCAGTTTCACCAATATAATATTCTTTGCATCCAGGACATGTGATGGCGTATATGACATCTTTCGTATCACATGACATGTTAGCATTGACTTTAAATTCACGCCCGTTAAAATTATAACTCGTCCTCCACAGTAAACTATTTAATTCATAAACAATTAGACGTCCACCAAACTTTTACAGAAACGAAAGAACTACGTATATTGGAAGAGGGGTACGCAATTATTTTTTAGGAGGAGGCAAAATGAACCAAGGCCAAAGATACAAGAACCAAGTACCACAATTGTTAACAACAACAACAACAACAACAATTCCAGGGATGCACCCAGGAATGTAATTAAAATAGAACCAGAAGTATTTAATCTTTCCGACAGAAATCTGATGGATTCCGAAATAAATTACTGACTAAGGGTCTTAAATACACCCCTACACCTCATGTAAATTATCAAGAGCTTAAAACGGATATTAAAGCTTATACTCGGCGACTCAGGCTATATGAATATTTTCATGAAAGTGATACCAATGAATCTGATTCCGAGTCTCAAGAAGCAGAACAAATAGACCTTGTAAGAAACAAATCTAAGTTTAATCCAAAACGAGGAAGAAATCGAACTTTGGATGCCGTTTGCGACACATTAGAAAATATTCATTTTCCAAGCAAACCCAGGAATATCAAATCCAACCTTTCTAAGGAAGAGGAAAAAGCTCTTAAAAGCCTATGTGATGACCCTACTATCATTATTAAAGAGGCTGATAAAGGAGGTGGAGTTGTGTTAATGAATAAGGATTTTTACAAAAATAAAATCTTACAAATGTTACAAGACAACAACTTTTATGAAAGACTGCACGATTGTCATGAGAGGAAAAACAATTACTAAAATAAAAAAGCTGGTATATGGACCACTATCGGAAGGTTTAACAGATAAAGAACAGGACTACTTGACAAACTTTGAATTCCGAGAGAGCCAATTCTATGGTTTACCTAAAGTTCACAAGTCTAAAATTATTAAGGACGCCATAGCAAATCAAAATAGTGTATGTATTATGTGTCTTGAACCAGGTGATTTATGCTTCAGACCCATTGTAGGAGGACCAAACTCACCAACACAAAGACTGAGTCACTTATTGGATATACTTTTAAAACCATATTGTCAAAAAGTACCCAGCTTCGTAAAAGACGATCTGGATTTTATAAATCATTTACCTACTCAGATCACCTGTAACACAAAACTTGTCACTTTTGATGTCATAAGTTTATATACTAATATTCCTACAGAATTAGGATTAAAAGCTGTAAAATTTTGGATGGAAAATTATCCCGATGTACTAAATGAAAGATTCCAACAGAATTTTATTTTAGAAGCACTTAAATTAGTTTTACAAAACAATTCATTTGCTTTTTCTGACCATCATTACCTTCAAACTAAGGGAACTGCAATGGGGACGAAAGTCGCACCTACCTATGCAACATTAACCTTAGGTTATTTAGAACATAAGTTACATGAACAATTATGTTCGTTGTGGGGAATAGAATCTGCAAATAATATACAGTCTAAATGGAAAAGGTTTTTAGACGACTACTTTATCTTATGGGATGATGATGTCGACAAATTATCGGAGTTTTACAATCTACTAAACCAAATGAACTCGGATATCAAATTCACGATGGAAACAGATGATACGCAAATGCCGTTAATTTCTCGATGTTCTTATATCAAAAGATAATACCAGCTTAAATACGGATATATACTATAGGCCGACAGATACACACCAATATCTGCACTTCGGATCGTGCCATCCCCACCATACTAAAACGGCTATACCATATAATCTCGCAAGAAGGATCTGTACCATTGTGAGCAATATTAATACGATGGGTATCCGTTTGGAGGAATTGAAATTGTATTTATTGAGCCAAAAATACCCAGAGCAACTGGTAGATAATAGTATTATGAAAGCCAAGGAGTGTGATAGAACACAATTACTTTCAAACACACGACGTGCGAAGGACGGAGAAACAATACCCTTTGTTCACAAGTACAACCCGAGAAATAAAAACATCAATTCAATTGTTTATGAATTAAATAGTTTACTTAGAGAGGATGAACAAACGAAAACTATATACAAAAACTGCCGTTTTATCAGCAGTAAACGTCAACCCAAAAACCTTAAGAGAATACTTTGTTCCTCCCAATTCGCTGACCATAATTATACGGTGTCAAAGTGTCAGATCCTCGATGCGGCACATGTGACTACATTACAGAAGGGAGGACGAGTTATAATTTTAACGGGCGTGAATTTAAAGTTAATGCCAACATGTCATGTGATACGAAAGATGTCATATACGCCATCACATGTCCTGGATGCAAAGAATATTATATTGGTGAAACTGGCAACACTCTCCGTGCCCGTGTACGTGTACATAAGCAACACATCAGTACACCTGAATATAGACAAATCCAGCTAAGTGCACACCTTTTTATAAACTCAGATGTGCCAGTGATATCCAGAGACGGGAAAAAAAAAAAAAAACATTTTATTTGTATTCTAAAGCCAAAACTTAATAGTCTCTTATAAACTACCTATGATTTTCCCGAACTTTTTCATCATCATTGCAGTATTTTATCTATGACGTCACAATATAGACATTAAACGTTCCGCTTAGTTTAACGTCATAATCATTGTTACTATGTTACCGTTGTGTATACATTTTTGTAATGTAAAGCTTCTGAAGATTTTTAATGAAAGCGCTAAAGCTTTACGGAGGATTCTTGTGTTTTCTTTTTATATTTGTTTAATATATATTTATCCCATGTTTACCCCTTTATCCCGTGGATATGACTCATTGGATATTTTTTTCATAACCCACAGTTAAGTGCAGTTGTGACGTCACAATGGTTTTTGCGTTAGCGTGATGAAGTAAAGTAAAGTGGAGTCCTATATAAAACAGTGAAAAACATTGGTTGTGAAGTATTAAACATGGGATAAAAAGAATCTCCCATGATTTGTAGTTGATTATGACTTTTATCCAACTCGTTGTGTGTTTTTTATCCCCTCGCCAAGGCTCGGGGATAAAAAACACACAACTCGTTGGATAAAAATCATATCCAACTACAAATCATGGGAGATCATATATATATATATATATATATATATATATATATATATATATATATATATATATATATATATATATATATATATATATATACTAGTTTTTAGAAATGCAATTTAACATGTGAAAGAATGTTTAATTTAACACATGTATATGTATTATAGGGTGTGAATAATTAAATAAATTAGCATTATATATCCATTTGTTTACCTTTAAGTAATTAGTAGAGTGTCATAGTTAGTCTATTGTCTTATGATTTTACGGAGAAAAATTGCTTTTATTTACTTTATCTAGTTTTCTTTCATATATACATCTAATAACCATTTTTATGTACCAGAGTATATTCATCATTTGAGTTATGCAGTTGCATTTTTTTCTTTTTTGAATACACTTTTTTTTCTTAGCTATTCGTAAAATGATGTTAATTTATACAATAAAACATAAAAATGAGGGGTTATTGTATGTTGCTTTTTGTTCAAATGTCTATGTTATTTTACAGAAACCGTGCGAAACCAGGTACATATGACCTAAATCCACCAACAACAGTTCGATATCAAAATATGTCTTGACTGGAATCGCAAAATCAAGTTCGTTATTAAAATGTGGAATTTAAAGTGGTTTCATTGTTAAATAACTCTGAAAAGTACGTTTGGAAAGCAGACACAAGATCTTGAACTACATCAAGTTTGATTTGCTGAAATGAAAGTGATATGAGCTTGAAATTCCATTCTTACACAATGTACAAGTTATAGAAATCATACATCAATGGAGCTGCTCCGTGTTGTCAATAAATTTGTTCATTTAAAGTTGTTTTATTCTTGTCTGTCATTGATATTTCTTAGCGTGTCTGTTTAAAGAAGATTTGTTTGGATAAATAAAAATTATTTTTCCTAGGACGAGAATGACGCTCTGTCATTGGGTAACGGACGTCACGGTCCTGCCATCAATATTTCTACGGACAGCGAGATACAAACTTTGTACGACAACATGGCGGATAAAACGACGTTATGTCATCCAGAAAACACCAGTGTTATTTTCGATTTTAACAGAAACTTATAAATTTCCTTACCGATTTGGCAATTATTCCATTTAGAGTAGTGTCCCTTTTCAGTAAAGTAATCAGTAAGCAACAATATGACAAAGAAGATCCCTCACTGCTCAAAGGCCGTAAGTACAGATAAATTTGCAGCCCTCCAACGGCAAGTGGTGGCATCTCAATATGAGGGGAAAATTCTCGGAGGGACGCTAAACAGCAAACAAACAGACATTCTAAAAAAAACTAGATAAAAGCATTTTCTTCGCATAAATTACAGCTTCGTTCATACAAGAAAGAGGTTCACCTGAAATGATTAAATTTTGTTTAAACGTTGAAGTACAAGGCTAATAATAATAATTTGAACAAAAAAGAAATTTTTCTGAATAATTACTGATTAATTAATAATTTCGGACAATTACTGAGTTGTCTACGGGCTTTTCTGTTTGCCCGATAATTACAAAGAGCACACTGCGTGTGTGACTGGTCGACAGGGGATGCTTACTCCTCCATGGCACCTGATCCCACCTCTGAAGGTTTTTAATATCCGTCAATCCTTCAATCGTACACCTATTATTTCCTGACTTTTTTGTATTTGTAAAAAAGCCACGAAAAGGTCAGGAAAATTTATGAAAGAAAGGCAAATAATTATATACTCGGATAAATATTGGTAATTGTGTACACAAAAGTATTTTGATTGTATTAAAGTGCATGTGTAACGAATTTCATTGTAATAAAATATGTAATGATGGTTCATTTAAAATATTTTTTCAATGATCGTGACAGAACTGATATAACTTACTCAGCGTTTTACTATCTACAAACAGTAAGACAGTGTAAGGTTAACTCTGATGATGATGTATGAATCAAGCCCTTGTGTATCAGCCTCTAACTTTATGCAAAATTAAACAGTTGCTGTAGTTTGTAGAATAATATAAATACCTGGTTCAACTCGATCAACCTACAGTAATACACATTTCCTTTATATCTGAGCGTTCCAAAAAAGATATTTTCCACAGGTAGAATAATTTTTCTTGTTTTGACTTAATGGGCAACGGACAATCAAATCATTCGTCAGAAATGTAAATTACCTTTCTGCATTGCACGTGATTCTTGTCAACACGATTGCTCAACAAAATCTTAAAACACTCATCTAATCATGGCCTACGAAGTAGTTTTTCTGAAACTAAAAACAGTCCTTCCTTAAACACTCGCGGATAATAGAATATGAAATGAATTTGATCATGTATGTATGTTTCTTTCTGGTGTCCGCTACTGAACGAGAATTTCGGATCGCATGGATGGCTCCGGAAAGGGAACATTACGGACTCAGTGCAGGATCTAGTGTGAGCATCTTAAGAGCCGCGTTGTCAGCACTACAGCTGCATCAAAGGGAAAATGCAACGTTTTTAGCGGATCATAAAGTTTCGTAAGTGGGTTTTTTTTGTCTTTAACATCCAAGTTGATAGATCAGAAACAAGTAATATTGATTTTCCTCAGTTATAATTCTTATGATAGTTATGTAATTCTTCTGTACACAAATTCAAATACAGCCATATGAATACTCGTATTGTAAAGAATAGTCATTCATTAAAAATACAGAAAGAATAACTGTTACAAATAAATGTATATCCTCTTTTTTATACATGTACTTTATAATCAGAACATATATTGAAGGAAATAACTAGCAATCCATGAAACACTATGGATACAACATTACATAATATCAAGTTATTTAGATTATGAATAAGATCTCATAAGATTTTTGATTTCGCAGGATTCAATTTATTGCCTTAAATTAATTTTTTTTTTCTAAAGGAAAAACATTAATGATTTCAAACGATGGCAATGACGCTCTTACTTTTTTCAGTGGCTTTCTTGGCAACATAAGCTTAATTACTGATTAAAATATGCTTATGACACATGTTTTATGTCCATGACTAGTGTTAATGAAATGTTCAAAAGAAATGAGAGAATCCCACTCTTGATGTAGCTTAAAATAAAATTACATTGCACTTGTGGAAAAAAAAATATGTCCATTATATTACCTATGCAATGAACAAAAATGAGTGTATTTCGTCCGTTGGAAAAATATATTGATGCAATGTAACTCTCTCTCTCTCTCTCTCTCTCTCTCTCTCTCTCTCTTGTGTGTGTGTGTGTATGTTTGTGTGCGTTTGAGAGTAAACTGACTGGTTTTACCAAGAGAGCATAACTTCTGTTGCAAAGCATTTGTAATAGGATCAATCAAACGTTTTTTTAAGATATTGTATGAAAGCAAGAGAAACTGTTGATTTAAAAGGATTTCAGGTATTTCAAAAAACCTATCTGTCCTGTGCTTGAATATTTATTTATACTGAAATTAATTGTGTTTCGCCTTTTTTTGCACATATGCAGAGATTGCTTGTTACCTTGAAAGGTAAAGAAGACTACAAAATTGTTTACTTGTTAAGAAATTAAGCGCATCTGAGTCATTTGTACCGTTATCAATGTATGAATTTCAGTCACATGTTTCAAGGTGGTTTTGGTTAAATTGTCTTTGGGCTTGCAAGATCCCATTCTCTTGTACTAAAAAAAGGGAATCAGAAAAAGCTTGGCATGAAGTAATTTTAATTTCTTAAACAAAGTTGGTGTTGAATTGAAAAGAGACATGCAATAAATTTTTGGAAAGCAGAATTATGTATTATACTGCTATCTTCTTTTAATTTAGATATTTAGCGTGTACATATATTGATGCTCCAAGACATATGATAGACGCAACCCATCCTCCGTTATACCTTTTAAGGTATCTGATCGAGATACATAATGTAAGCTAATGGAATGTAAGATAACTCTGGTAAAGGCACTCCACAAAGCTTTGAAGTAACCTCTAACTTAATTCTTATTTCCTGACAACGTATACTGTACATTGTATGTGAAAAGGTTGCTTAAAATCATTTTATAGTTTCAGCGTAAGATGAATAGTGTCTTTAATATTAAAGGTGAAGATAACGAACGGTGATAATTCTCATAAAGAATACAAATCATGAACAAGGCATAAAAACGGACCCCTGGAAGATCAGGTGCATAGAAAGAGTAAGCACCCCTTGTACACCAGTTACTACCACAGAGGTTCCTCTTTACTGATCAGATAAGCGGAGTAATCCAAAATCATGAAAAGTATGAAAACATTGGCCGAACGATTTGTATGAGACATATCAATACAAATACGATCCAGCCATAGGTTGAACTTGCAGAACAGGCACTTTTATCAAGCATGTAGTCTGCGAAATGCTAAATTTAAACGAGATTGCTGAAAGCCTTGCGACATCAGATTATTTGTCACTAACCCGTATCGGTTTCAAAGTTAAAGAACTTAGAACATACTCTTGCGTAGTGAATCAGTTGGGAGACATTAATACCACATACCCTGCTATTGGAATGATACTGCATATATAGAGAAAGTTCAAAGGGAAAAGCTGAAATCAAGTTTTTCATAGTTTCGTTGTTAGTTTAGTTCAGTCGACGGATTTTTCCGTTATTTTCCGATCTGACAAGGAGCACACTGCGGGTGCGACCGGTCGGCAGGGGATGCTCACTCCTCCATGGCACCTGATCCCACCTTTGATGTTTTAGAGGTCTGTGTTTGCTCTGCTCCAAAATTTGTTGTGTTTAATGGACTTTTGAGCTTGAATACTGTTCATTATCACCAAACATTTCTGTTAGTTAGCCAATATTATTTATAGTCAGTAAAACATCCAAATATATTTCATTAATTTAGAAAATACTTGATTAAATAATAACAATATTATCATAGTGAAAATCAAAGTAATGTGTGAAAATTAAGATAAATAAATTAGGTGCAACATTCTATTGATCGGTCTCTACTCGATAACGAGGACGTTTGCAAACCCTGATAGATTTCTTACTGGTCGGAGTTTTTATCTTATTAGGAAAACCATTCAGTTAACAAAAACGTTTAATTTTCATGGCATGAATATCTTTTTATGAAATAGGTGAAATAACGAACAATACAAATCTTTGAGCAGGACATAAAACACGGACCCTGGAAATTGCAGAGATGGGCTGTGGTGTCCTGTTAAAACAAGTATCCCCTGTCGAATGGATACACACGCCGTGAGCCTTTTGTATTGATCAGGTAGACGGAAAATCCATGGTCAAATTAAGGGTAAAAAATCAAAGGTCTAACAATTGATATGAAATATGTCAGTCAAAATACTACCCAATGATAAAATATGTCTGTCAAAATACGACCCAATGATACGATGTGATTGCTAACAAGGTCAATATAAAGAACATAGATTTTACGAAATTCTGACTTTAAACAAGGTTACTGAAATCCATGTAACATCAACTTATTTGTCAGTACCTGCCATGGTTTAAAAATTGATCGTACTCAGAGCATGCTATTGAGTGTCGAATAAGTTTGGGAGACATAAACACAATATGCAGGTTGGAATGGAATGTTACTACATAAACAGATGTGGCAGACTTTGTGGTGTCTTTTAATTCGAGCACATTTGGATATATCGATTTGACATATCAATGGTAGTAACTATTGTTGATTGATAAAACGTCGTCGATATATCTGAATGTAGAGTTCAAAGCCACAGCAAGTGTTTTCTTCTTTTCCCCTCAGAGTACTTATGTGTAGAATCAGAGTCATTTTTAACAATGTCACTTTGTAGATGTTCAATCACAAGATATGAAAAATTTCCGTGTACCATTTTTATTGAAGAAGCAGTTGTCTATGATATCAAAATATCTAGTTCTCTAAAAGTTCATTATAAGATTTTTATACAAATAAATGAATAATAAATCGACTTTAACAATAAGCATTAAAAATTGTCCGGTAGTTGTATACTGTAAGTAATATCCTATTGTTTTAAGCTAACCTGTACAAAACGCTAAAGAAAGCTTTTCTGATGAAAGATATTGATTGTTCGCCGTACGTCTGTCATTTGTCATCTTACAGTGTGGTTGGCAAACTTTTTAACTTTTCAAATTCTTTTCAAGAACAAGAGAGACAAACTTAATATAAAACATCCTTGGGTGATAAGAATTTATTTTTGTAAATGAAGGGCCACATTCTATTTCAAGGGGGGGGGGGGTTAATATTAAACCATGACAAACAAAACTGAAGAAGTTATTTTTTTTTTTTAGATTTGAATATTGTTCAAATCCTGGACATCGAGATCTGGATGTGTCACGGGAGGGGATTAGACTATGCATTGGAGTAAATGGGAGGACATATTTATTATCTTTTCAAAAACAAACGTGTTGCTAAAATAACCACCCCGTCCAATGAACTGAAGATTCAAGTTTCTTCATTGGGTTGTCTATGAGTTTAACATATAGATACATATAAAATGGTTATAGTAGTTATTCATCAATGTTTTTTTTTCCTTTTACATATATGAAAATGGAGAAGGGGAAATAATAATTTAAGCAAGAATCATTATATAAAAAGAAGATTCAGAATCAAATAAAAGTGTTAAGGAGGGATTATTGTAGGGGTTAAAGTTAACATGGGAATAACATTCTTTTTAAAAAAAATCATTTTTAAAATATTCTCAAGAACAGCAGTGCAAAGCTGAGATTAGTCTTGTAACCCAAGTGTCTTGTTCTTCGTTTTATTTAGCATCATTACTTATAAGGACACTTAATTCTCGTAAATTAAACGCTTTATTTCTTCTTTTTTTACCTAATTTCTGTAAATTATAATCGTCAATGACATCTAATGAAAAAAAATCCTTATCTAATACTTTCTCATAGAGCATAATGAAGAGAAAAAAACAGAGACACCATTTGCCTCAAAGGGAAAATTCAATGTCCGAAGATTTACTTTCATGCCATTTAAAAAATAATTTAATCTCGGATTCTGAGAAGATAAATTGTTTTATTTTCGCTTTCATATAAACTAAACAATAATTAATTCTCAGGTGTGTAAGTCGTGATGACTGTCGTTCTAAATATATCATTTTACCTACTTCAAAGGTTTCTTGCCCTGTTGAAATTAAGCACATTTTTAAACATGAACACAATGTAGCAATTATGAATGGACAATGAATGTTAGTTATATATTACACTGATGAAGGACATGCGGTGGTGTACAGATACTGGAAAACTAAACTAAAAGAAAAGAAATTGACGTTTTACATCTCTCGCTATAAGATTATAGAAAGGCAGGGTAGCTGGTTCAGTTTCAACTTAGGTTTTCGCAGAAGTCTCTTGCAAAGTGATTTCATTTTCAATTAAATTGACAAATCAAAGATAGAAAAATGTTGAAATTTTAAATAGATTTCAACCTATAAATATAGGAAGACGAAAAGGTTATCTCCATTAAATGCTGATGAATATTCCCATAAACACTGTAACTTGCAAAGGAATTTACATACCTAAATCACAATGTTTTACTCTAGTTTTTTT